GCATTTGCTAGTGGACACTGCCTTGCTTGATCATGCTTACACACAGCAAGAACTAATTACAATGACTGGTAAGTGGCCAACAGTTTTCAGGAACTTCTATAATGCAATAATCCTCTTCATCTGAGATATGAAAATATCCCTCAAAAATAACTATAAAATGATCCCAGTATTACCTCTACTATGCTGATGAATGAGTTAGTATGCTAAGATAACCTGTCTTGGCACTGTTAGTTTGAAGGAAGTATCTTACAGCTTGGTTTGAGAGTCAACCTGCAGTGTGTAGATATCAAAGTGGCACATACCACTATGTCTTACTGTGCTTGTCAAGATAGGTAGGAAGAAGAAAATAAGTTTGTATAAAACACTCTTCCAAAAAAAAAAAAAAAAAAAATCATTTTGTGGAGCTGACACATAAATTGTATCTCATTAGCAAGTCCCTAAACTGCTCCAGTTAGTGATCAAAGCCAAATTCAGCAAATATCCAAAAACACAAGCTGTAATATTACAATTTATTGTATCATTACAATAATACAATAGCAGAGGAAAAAAAAAAAAAAAAAAAAAAAAAAAAATCAACCTTCAGCTAACTATCAGGAGAGACACTTTGTGCCCCTTGTAAAACAATGAGGGGATTATTTCCAGACAAATGTTAAGATCTCTTGCCAATGCAACATAAGCTTATGCTAGATAACAATTAGATTAAATCACCCAGAGTTGTGACTACAGGTTATGCAGTTCAGTACATGGATGTTGAGGCTCTATCATTTTCCAACTGCTTGATTTGCAGTTATACTAACAGAACTGGACTGCCCACAGATAACTTACACAACGCTTACACATCTCTTGGTACACTACCCTTTTATTCAGATGACAACTGCCTTTTAAATTATTTTTATTTTTTTTTTAAATAAGTCTGGCAGATTTTGCTTAATCTCCTACACTTACCATGTTCTGCTTCACACTGTAGTTCAAGTAGCACACAAACAGGATTTCTTTTGAATGAGAATAGGTCAGAAGACAGGCTCCAGATCTTGATACACTGCAGTGGTCTCTCTCAGTGACCACACTAGATTTAGTGTCAAGTGTCCATCATGTCCTCAGCTGTCTAATTCTCTAGCCAAACACACTCCTTCACAATCACATCAACTGCTAGAAATAACTGCAGGGCAGATTTTTCTGATATAGATGTTCTAGATACACCAGTAGACTTGCAATTATCATATCAAATTTTAATGGACTTCAGAGAACACATGATGCAAGAGAGAAATTAGCTGATATGATCACATTACAGAAAAAGATTAAATTTAAATTAAAAATACCCAGCTCTCAATGTACAGTTTTAAGCTGTAAAGGCTGCTTAATCACCATTTCTACTGGTTCATTTGAAAAGCTTTGGAAACAATTTCCAAAATATTTTTTTCCTTGAAATTCTTCTTCAGGTGGAAGAGAAGACTTAATAAAAAAATGAAATATTATTATCAGCTGAAGAGCTCCAGAACATGTTGAGTAAAGTTTAAAGTAAATCCTTGTACTGTTTTAAATTCCAAGATAAGTGAGCAGGCATCAGGAAAAGGTAAACTTGCAACGACAACTGCAGCTGCTAGTTTATCTTTGCAAGTGTTTGAAGGTATATGACAGCACATGGAAACAAAAAAGCCAGCACTACCATAAACCAATGCAAAATGAGCTGCACAGATGAAATGTTACAGATCATCTACTATTTAGTGCTTCTTGTAGTGACAGACAGGGCAAAGTGTCCTCTTGGTTACTGTTGATTTATCTGCAGTGTATTTCTGAGCAAGATAATCACCAACAGAGTAAAAGATTTACAAAGGGCATTATCCCTGCCCACAAATTGAATCTAAAAGTGAGAAAGGGGAGTGAAAAGTTTGTTTTAAATATAGTAATTTCTTCTGATAGTCCCCAAAATGTTCTAGATGTAGGTCACTCAAACAGAAAGAGACTACATATATTTGAAATTCAGCCTTTCATTGGAGACTAGCATCAGATTTTACATTTGCTTTTTCACTCCATTAAAATTTCATAGTTGTTTTTTCCATCTTTCTACTTGTACCCATCAACAGATGTTCTGAAAGGGGATTGTATGTTAAAATGTAAGCATGCGATTGGGCTGTTGCCCTTTCCAAAAAGGCTACAGGCACCGGGGTACATTTGGGTACCTTCACTATCAGAGTAGACTTACTTTTAAAGTCACAATCACTGCCAGCCAAAAAAAAAAATGAGTGTAAAAATACTGAGATTCAGAAACCCCTCACTTTGATCTAAAAACTCTACCTGTAGTGAGCATTTCTCACACTAGCTTTTTATTTTAAATAGCATTACATTAGATTTCGTATTAAAAGTCAGCACAAATTCTAACTGCATTTTAGAGAAACTGGAACAATTATATCCAAAGTTCTTAGATATCTTACCTCTTTAAGTCCAATCTTTTCATTAGACCTCTGAGAACTTCTAGAGAAGGTCCTAGGTGGGACCTTCCAGAGAAAGTAAAACCTTTCCAGCAAGAACTAGACTTCTGCATAATCACTTCAGTTACTCACAGAACTTTAGCAAATAGGAACTGACACAGATGCCACAGCGTGGCCCATGAGTTTTGCCATTAAATTACACAGAGCCAGGCTTTTCACCAACTTGCCATACAAGGGCCAATTCCACAGTATTAGCTAAGGATGAAGGCTTGAAAGTAAACTGGATTAGATTGGACTTCATTAAGCAGCCTAAAATGAGCACCAGCTAGCATTAAGGCTTTCCTGAGGCAATGCAAGCTATAGGGACAACTACCAGAAAGGAACCTTTGCTGCTGCAGAAGATGCACTGTACCACTCTGCTGGCAGAACTCCCCAGGAGGGTGCTAGACAAACACTGCAGCACCCTACCCTTCCACAGAAATGATTCATGCTACAGAGATTGTTCTTCTAAGTTCTAACTTAAAAATGAGAAAGTTACAAAAAAGAAAAGTAGTATTTTGTACATGCATTGACAGACCATAATGAAAACATGCACACGGAGATACGGGGTATTACATACCTACATTCCATTTCTAGAAGTACCTAACTAAACAGGCAGTAGACTTAGACATTTTTGCAAGTGTTCCTGCCCCACTCCACCTTTTATTTAAGTGTGTGATCACTAATAAGTTTATCACAGTTCATCAGCTTGATCTGATCAGCAGCACATATAAAGGACGTTTAAGGACACTGCCTACATCGTTTTCAATGAGTTGTCAGCTCACTGCCATGAAAAAACTGCCATTTTTCTTGAGTTTTTCAGCAATTTCCTTCATTTAAAAAGAAAGCTTAGCTTTATGCTTGTCAGATTAGTTGTGCAAACTGACAGCTGAATTTTTTTTTTTTAAATACATGAAAAGGATTCAGGGCATGGTTAGAGTCCTGTCTCATATTTGCCTTTTCTAAGCTTAAAGGTCTTGCAGCAATGCATGAGAAGCTAGGCAGAAAGCCAGGGAACTAGCCTCAAGCTGTATGATCTCCTCCAAGAAACAAACAGTGCTGTAGGATAGATAATCACACTGTCCCCTTTCCCAGTTCCATCAGTTACCTCCCTGTCCTCCAACATGGCAGGACTCCAGTAGCTGTCTGCAGATGTCCAAGAAGGTGTCAGCAGGGCTCAGTAAGGCTTGATAGAGGCAGTGTTGTAATAGGGACTGATTATCCCTTCTAGCTGACAGCTTACTCTACAGACAGGTCTCAGTAGGATGAAACTTATGTTTAAAGGCCTGAAAGCATCTACTGATACAGGTCACGTAAGGAACAAGCTAAAAGCCAAGTGAGTTCTCAGGTCAGCAAAGAAAACAGACTAAAATCTTTGTGACATCTTAACAAAAGAGATACCAAGAGCTCAAACTGCAAGGTCAACACTGTTGTGGCCAGTTCAAACAATCAAGTTGAACCCCAGGAATATAAAGAGACAGAAGAATGATGCTCATTGCTATCCAAAGGTCAAAGCATTTAGAGGATATTCTGTTCCAGAACCAAACCAGGCCTGTGCCTTACCACATCTAATCACAGTGTTGAGTAATTGGCATTAGCTCATATTTTAGGTTGAGAATTTCCTTACGAAGTTCTTCTGCTTATCTGTTCAGACATGTTTCCTACTCTGCCACACAATGATTTTAAAGAATTTTTGTTCTTCCAGGGCAAACATCATCAGTTATCAATTAAGAATTCACGCTCAAGTCTGTCTGTAACTAGGGAAACATTTAAGCATATGTCTAACATCATTACTAAACAGCAATATTTTCCTAAGCTCACTCCTAGAAAGCAATGCCTTGAGTTTACCCACACATCACTGAAAGACACATGGAAAAAATACATTAAAATTGTAACTGCAAAATGAAGTTGGCAGCTCTTCATTGCCCTAAAACAGGAAGTAGCCAGCTATGCTAAGGTTAAAACCCTTCCACACAATCAAATGAAATTAAGCTGTTTTAGAGAAACATTGCTTAAACATTTGGTTTCTTCAAATGCAAAACTGACAGAATTGCTCTAGCTAACAAAAGCTAAAAAAATATTTCCCTATTTTTTTATTTTTTTTTTTTTATAGGGAAACAGATTCCTTCAGACTTATTTCTTCACAAGCAAGTACCAAAGACAAAAATACTTCCACAAACTAATAGAAGCTATTACAGTAAGGATAAAATCCATACTGGAAGCCCACAGTAATTAGATTTTTCTTTTTAATTGTTGTAATCTACTTAAAGACAATCTGACTTCTTTTGAACCAGGCCTCTGACTGCATAAAGAAGAAAGATTCCATTAAACTTACTGCAAAGCTAATGACTTGAAAGCCCTTAGAAGAGCTTTTGAAATCCTGGTCAGGGACATTACAAATGCAGTTGGTCTTCTTCACTTTTGTTGTTTCATGAGGTCATTAGATTCAGAATTACACAAACTTGATTTTCTTTTTCCTTTACTTGATAAGAGAGGCACGATAAATAGTTGCATTAGCATACAAAAACTTACCCTCGCACCCTTCTCTGGGAAACATTTGCATCCAGCACTGCAGTCACGTCCTCCACACGGCCCACTGTAAGACTTCTTTCCACCCTATTAAAAAAAACAAGCGACTTTTATAACTATTGGTCTGCTGAAGATCTTAAATTATGTTCAAATTTCAAAACTTTTCAAGCTATCTTACATCTGCTGTGTGAATTTGCTGGGAAATAAATAGCAAAATATATTTGAAATTTTACTTCTCCTTAATTGAATAATTTTCAAAATCACCAAATATTTGGAAAAAAATCATAAGCACTTATGATGGACGAGTACATTTACATGAGTTAGCAATAAGCATTTTCTAGGGCTACCAAAATGCACATCGTTACACGCTGCTTTGAGATTCACAATACACTAACTAGGCATAAATAGAACTGGCACCTCAGTCATTCTGAACATCCAAATATCTCCACATCACGAGAAATACCAAGGCATCACCTTTACACATTTTGGCCAGGAATGCCACAGACACAGAGACAAGAGGGTGGGAGAAGGTGGCATTCAGATCCATAAGGAGATATACGAGGCGGGCAGGGGGAAACATCAGTGTTTGAACAGATATGAAAATCCCCACCTCGGTCAACACAGATGTGTTGACAAAGCTGCTCAGTTTTAAACAAACCACATCCCCTTCCCACAGCAGTGTTTACAGCCCTTGCAACGCCACCTGTCAATTAAGGGCAACTGAGAACAGATGCACAGCATTTTGGAGAAGAAACACTTAGGATTTTACTCCCTATGAAAAGAAGTCAGCAGAACAACCAAAAAGGTCTCGTCGCCACTTGTTCTTCCTACAGGTGTAGTGACAAAGGCTCTGCTTTTAAGCCCTCTGTGTTAACACGCTCAGGCACACTTTCTGCCCTTGATGCTGAATTGCATTTTGCTGTGGAGATGAATTCACACAAAGATGGTTCTGGATAAAGACCACACAGAGAATAGAAAAGGACAAGGGGAAGCAACACCTCTGCTTACACTGCAGGGAGTTACGGCACCAGGAGGCCAAAGGCACTGCCGCACACAGCACTATGCATCAGCCCAAACGCCTGCACAACTGTCCTCGGGTTTTCAAAGTCTGAATGAAGCAAATTGAAGATCATCAAGGTGACCAACTAAGAGCTTAAACAAGTTTAGACTGGATTTGAACATTTCCTTCCTAAAAGCATTCACAGAAAATACTTTTCAAGCCTTTAAAATTTCCTGACACCTGTCGAGTGAGGAACGTAAAAAATGAAAGGCAAGTCAGGCAAGTTTCTCATGCAGCTTTGAACTCCTTTATGTCAGCTTTCTCAAAGAAAGCAACTGGTCCGGCATCACTTTCTCTGCTTATATGCAGGTAAATAAAAATACATCAATTCACATCCCAGTGTATGCATCGTTTTGCTATAAATTCAACATCCCCAGTTCTTAAGTGTAGAATGAACTGGTATCATCGAAAAACCCTCAATCCTATGTGCCCCCAGACTGAAGAAAGCAGGCAAAAATAGCCATGCTACATCCAAAGCATGTCCAAAAGGCATTAAATGATGAAAAACAAACTGCATCTTCACAGACTTATTCACAGTTCTGTTTGGATTAAATCCCACTACACATGGACCTTTTAGACTAGTCATTTAGTAACGCTATGGCAGCACCAGAAGCAATCCTTGCACTTAGAGTGATAAACTGCAAGAGTCACCATGACATGGAATATAATATACGGTTCTCACCCTTGGAAGTCAGAAAAAAAAGTAAACTTAACATGGCAAAGGTAATAAAAAAAAAAAGAAAGAAGAAAAAAACTGCATCTGTGGGATACATAACAGGCAGTGAGTATCTCCGAGTTGCCTGCACAGGATAAGCAGCAATATGAGCCTGCAATGCACACTGACAAACGTACTTTGTGAAAACTGGTCCCCATCTTGACAGACACTGCTGGAAGGGCATTTCTAGCCATTAGCAAAATGTGATCCTAGAGTCCTGATAAGACAACTTTGGAGTAAAGCGCCCCAAGACAACTTTTGCTTGATTATATGCATATTTTGTGGTGGAAATCTGGTCTCATCGCAAACCAATGTGTACCTCTATTCCTGAGGCTTAACCTTACATTTATGTTGTTAGCAGATAGCTTTACGCCACTGGAGAATTAGATTACATCTTCCCAGATGCTCATTCAACTTGGCATTAAATTCTTCCAAGATTTTAGCCTCCGTTGATTCTCCCCTTCCCCCTGTACACATTATTCTTCATTCCAACAGTCATTTTTGTGAACCTTCAGTTCCTCTGGCTCTGCTAATGCTGCTTTCCCCCAGGAGGGGAATAGAGAAGAGAAACACTTCACACCAGTGCTGGATCCCTCCCAGGTTGCTGTCTCACAGCAGTTGCTCTCATGCAACATCAGAGCACACCTTGCCAAAACGTCTGGTGGCAAACAGGCCCCTCCAGTGGCAGAGCACTGGACAGAACTTGAGTATTCTTCCTATCCCCACTGCCTGCACTGCTCTCCACAGTCCTGTGGTTTAGCACATATGGGCCAAATCAAATTCCTACTAAAGTCAAAATAAATATTCCCATTGACTGCAGTGGGATCTGGATCAAAGACTCACTGAGGTTTATTAAAAAAAGAAATAAAATACATCCATATTTTGAGTAAAATTTTGTATACATTGAGTTTCTCTGTTCCTTTTCATAGCTTGAGTTGTCATTTTGCTTATTTATGAATGAAAGCATTTGAGAAGGAAGTAAACCTTAGCCAGCTGGCTCTAAACCAGGTGTTACTGCCCTGAGTGTTTTATTTAGGGGAAGGAGCTGACACCAGACACTCCAGTACTACTTAAATAGCAAACAGACATGTACATAATATTGATGTATACAAACCTAAAGACTACATATAATATTCTAGAGTACAGTGCTCTCTTCTGAAGAGGTTTAGTATATTTTTTCCATTCAAATGAATAAGTGCATTGGTCATTTGAACACTTACAGATAGGAATCTGAACATGTGAGCACAGGCCCTTTGTACCTGTTCTGTGTATGTATGCAAGTGGGAGATCTGACTGCCCCGAGATGTGTTTCAGGTTGACAAACACAGTTCCTCAGAAACAACACAAAATAAATGAAGATTAACTAAATGATTTCAACTCCACTGACTAAAAGTAGACCAGGAGTTTTGCAGAAAATAAATTAAAAAACATAAATCAGTACTGATGATTAAAAAAATAGCAATTTCTGAGATTCTGAGTAACTAGCTAAAACAGCTATAACACAGGTGTAGTAACACATGTATTGGGTTATTTCAGTCTTAAGTAAGTATTACTAGCACTCAGCATAGGAAAACATTTCAGTTAAAAAACATTGATATTCGTGAGGAGTTTTTTTTTTTTTTTTAAAGGCATTCAAAAGCAATAGAGGAAGAGCACACGTATCTTCACTTCTGAGCTCTCATTTCTGGTGTGCCACCCTCAAGCATTTGTGCCCAGCTGATTCATTCAGATGGATGCCATTTTAATCTTTCCATTGACTTCAGCAAGCCCTGGAGCGAAGCCAAAGACAGTAAAGAAAGCTAACAGCTGTGATGCCATAAGAGGTGTCCCAGACCCACGCTCATTCCAGCTCCTCTATAGCAACACACAGGACCTCATAATAGCAGATGACATTGAACGTCTGCAAACCCAAAGAAACCGTACCCACAGGAGCAAACTCTTAACAGAGGACCTGAGTAAGATTTTGAGGAAAGACAGCTCTGACACGTGAGCTGGGGACCAATTTTCTCCTGCTCTGTAATCTAAGGATCATCCGTGGAATATGTGAGAACTTTAGCTGAAGGCAATGACTGCTGTCAGGTAAAAGGGTGAACCCACAAGCCAGCAGATAAATGCATGAGGGCACGTTTTGGAGAAAGGCAGCAAAAAGGTGAAAACCATGCAACTACCATTAACGTGAGAAAAATTAAGCAGCAGTGGTGGTAATGGGCATGCAAGCTGGAAAGCTTTAGGAAGAAAAAAAAAAGGATTCTAAGGAATGCCACCATACCAAACTGTAGGATTGTAAAGCGTGCTGAAAGAAGAGCGTGTACACGATCAAATAAAGAAGAAAATGATGAAAAGATGAAGATAAAACAAAGTGGAAGAATCTCAGACTGGCATAAGGAGTTATGCCAAGGAAGAAACTTTTCCCTAAGCCTTAAATCCAGTAACTTCCAATCTCCAGTTAAGGATCCCTCTAGTCCAGAACAAAATCCTGACCACCTTACATTCCCGGGAATGGAACATAAGGAAACTTCTGAAATTTGCAAAAAGAATTCTTTTCACATAGTCAGGACCTATTATCTGCTGATGACTAATAAGGAATTATATTTGCAGTACCAGACACCCTGGTAAAATGTCACAGTAAAAAAAAAACAAATGAAACATAATATCTCTGTTTACTTCATGAGCTAAGTAACATTGCCCTTATTAGCTCCCATAGCTTTTAAGATTTCTACAGAACTTTGACCCAATTCTGAAAACATTTATCCCCATGTTCATCTTCTCTCTCAGAAATTAGCAGTCAATTCTACTTTGTTACGTGTGTATTACAAAGAAGGCGCCATCCTAACTTAAAAACAAATCCTTCAAAACTGAAAAAACCTGATAAGCCAGGAAGCACAGCAACATCTGCACTCAGAAGTGGCAGCACGAGCCAGCAAAGCCAGCATAATGTCACACAGCAAACAGTTTCAGTAATTCTTCCCAACACAGGTGTCAGAGCAGAAATAAACAAACAGGCTTCCCAGTTAGATTGTATGAGAGCATTTGCTGGGATTTATTTGGGAGCGAAGTAGAGAAGAGGTGCAAATACATCAGCAAAACATTGCATGAACTTAAAATACAGACTTTTCTTTTCCCCCCCACAAAGCATATCAAGTGTTTGAACTCCCTTCTTTTCTCAGATACCCCAAAACTTGACTCATACTATCAAGTTGGTGTTTTTTTTTTTTTTAAAAAAAAAAAAATATATGAAGAGCCAGGTAAAGCATAGGAGCTAATAATTAGAGGGTTTTTGTCAAACTGGTGGGTAAATAATCAATAGGAGAC